GGTGTTAATAGTGGCGGACGCTGATCTCTGTATCCATGTCACCGGCCAGGAATGCCTTCTTTTAAACGCAGAGGCGACAAGCAGAGTATGTCATCCTTCCCACGGAGAGGTACTCATTTATGTCGGAAGGAAGAACGGTGAGCGACCAGACCGGGGTTCGAACCCGAGACCTCTCGGTCCAGAATCTGACTCTCTATTGAAATGGGCACTGTCAGTCATGTATGACCAAAACCACAAATGTAATGCAGCAGAATTATATGTTGGTTTATTAAGAGAATAGGTCGCTTCTAAAGTTTCCGTCACAAAAGAAGATACCATCATGTATTGCAGGCATTAACTACCATGAAGTCGTGGCCTGATTAAACAATCCCCAGGCTATTACAAGAAAGGGGACAATAGTGCGATTATGACGAGTGAATTCCGGGAAGTGACAGAAGATAGAGTATCATTTTGAATCTTCTTTGACACTTCACCATATGACATTTATGCAGCCGATTTGAAGTTGAAACCGAACTTAGTGCATAGCTATAGGTAAATTGTTGATCGGAGGCCACACTAGTAGTATATATACTGTGCTGCCTTTTCTTGTTTAGCAGCATCGAAGCATAACCGATCATGCCGGACGCTAGTTGCAACAAGTTAGCAACAGTTTCATCAATAGAGTGACTGTAAGGGGGCATTGCCAGTTGGCAAAAAGTTACACATCGACTTTGCCTCGCTCCCTTAACCCCATATTAGGAAATTAGGCCAAAACTTTAACAGAGTCGAAAAGGTCGTCATAGTTGTTGCTGAATGTTGATACTTTGTTCTACTATTCATACAGATACGAAACGTGATACATGCGCAAACCCAAAAATTAAACTTGCTTTAAAAATCTAACTTGTTTTAAGGTTTAACTTGCATGACCTCTTCAATAAAATAACTTTTCGCGCGCACTTACTTTGTAGAAAATACAAGCACCTATGACGGGTGATTTCAGCGGCGGCAAATTGTCGATATCAGTTGAAAGACCAGAAGTATTGTTGGCTACCGAATTCTGTAAAGAAATCTAATATTATTCTTAATATAGAAATATTAACACAGAAACTTATATAAAACGGTTTATTTATACATTACGCAAGCAAACTGATTGCAATCGAGTGCTTAACCAGTAGCAGCAGCAAAATGGGCCAAAAGGAACCTATTGGTTTAACCAGCGGCATGGGCCAAAAGGAACCTGTTGGCTCCAAACATCACAAAAAATGCGGATGACAGAACGAAATTCGAAAATCAACCCTGTCCACCTTGAAGAAGTTCCGTGAGATACTCGGTGAAACATCGATACTGGTCAAATCACCTGATTGCGACCAATCTGCTTGCGTTTGCAAGAAGAAAACGATTTTATGCAATTTTTATAATGACCACAAAGCCACGAAGGAAATGCTCGACAAATAAAACACTTATACTTTACGAGGTCGTTAAGCCCCAGGAAGTTATCCTTGAACTAAAGCACCGTAACCACTGCAGACAGCCCTTGACACTGCTACTCTAGCAGTTTAGAGAAGAGTTTTAAGGAGGTGAAGTCGAAGAGTACACAGAACGCTATTTTCCAAAAAAAATTAAGGGAGCAAATGCATAATAAGTTAAAAACAGTGTCAAGTGGATTGACTGATAAGTACAAATTCAGGGATTGTCAAGATAGACTAAAAGCTCACTGTCAGATGTCATGGATCCATCTCAATCACAAGATCTGAATGCTGCATAAAAGCTAAGCATGTACTTAGTAGAATCTAGCAAAAACAACGGGATGACGGTGAAACAGTACCAGTAAAGGTTTCACACCAGGCGGTGAACGAGAGACAAACCACAAAACAAACATGAGTGAGAATAGTGGCTCGAGTATGCCTTCGATTATAGAGTAGCGGTACAACGCCGGGCGCCATCATCAGGAATCTGGACACTTCATCGTGAACCAGACATAAAACGCACTGGCGTGACTAGTCACGACAGTGAAGACATCAGGTTTGCATCTCGTTGGAGGCTGAGCAAAACGGCTTTGGAAAAATGGTCAAGTCTCAAGCTTAACCGGACAAAGAACCGTAACTTTCTCTATGAAGCTCACTGCGCAACAGGAACAGACGATATTACATGATCGATTACCTTCTGTTCTAAAAAAATGTTCGAAAGATATTACAATATATATTCCCTAAATATCAGCAGTATTTTCTGTCACGCAAATTTCAACAATTACAGAAGTCAAAAAATCACGACTAAGAGACAACTCAAACATCACATTTATGTAAAGTAAAATCGAAGATCAAAGAAGCGAAACGTTTCAAACTACGGGAAAAAATTACCGTATTTGAAGATGGAGTATTTTGTACACACGTTGGTGATATTATTGAAATACAGCGGAAACATGGTTTATTAATAAACAGTGCAAAGGAAGGGACTGGTTAATGGCATGATACGCTATCATTGTTTTCATTATGCATCTCAAGGACTTTCTTGAAGGAAAAAGTGGTAGAAGTTCTAGCTTGTTCCTTTTGAGGAGACACCTTGCTGTGTTCGACAAAGCAT